TATTCCTCCTTCCTTTTTCTCTATACAAATATCTTTTGAGCGTATATGTATTTGCTGGCCAAAGAGAGGAAGCAAGATAAATTTGGTTTATTTAGTGTCTGACAAAAAAATATACAAGGCGGTATGCATTATGATAACACATAAATTTATAAAATTGCACATGGATGGGTATACAATACATGCACACACACATGTTAAAATAAAATCTAGTAGGGTTTATACCAAATATTAACTAATTAATATTAGAAACTTAGATGGGAATTTATAAACCAAAACCAAGCCCACTGCTATTGAGTCAATTTCAACTCATAGGGGCACTTTAGGACAGAGTAGAACTGCACCATGTTGTTGTTGTTGTTATGTGCCGTTGAGTCGGACCTGATTCATAGTGACCCCTGCTTGGGTTTCCGAGGCAGTATCACTACTTCTGGTTAGCAGTCAAGTGCCTTAGGCACTACGCTACTAGAGCTCCTGACCTGCACCATAGGGTTTCCAAAGCTGTCAGTCTTTACAGAAGCAGACCACCTTATTTTTCTCCTGCAGAGTGGCTGGTGGGTTTGATCCACTGACCTTTTGATTAACAGCTGGATGCTTAACCACTGTACCACCAGAGCTCCTTAAAAGTTTATGTCACTCAGATTTGAGTTCACAGAAAGTAATGGGCTCTTATTTCAAGTACCTTTTGTAGAAGAACTGTGGTCACCCACTCCATGTCACGCAGCCTACCCAGCAGCATCCAAAGTACAGCCCAAGAGGAAGTGGCCCTACGGGTATAGGTTTCTTATTTTTGCTCATCAGATTTTTCTAATTTTTCTACAGTGAATATGAATGTGTATTACTTATGGGAACACTTTTAAAAGAATTTCTTTTTTTTTTTTTTTAATTGAAGTTTTTATAATCTTTGGTAGGATAGGGTTGTGGGGAGAAAATTTTCATAAGACCTGAGATTTAAGAAGGATCAAAAGGGTTTAACAGAGTTACAAAATAGTATAAAGCGTTAGTTGCCTTGCTTATAAAATACTGATTAATTTTGAAATAGGTAATATGCATGATAAAAAATTCAAAAGATATAAACATAAATACTGTGCTGGGTTTAGTGTTTAGCATTTCCCATACATATTTTTATACTCATTTTGGTGTGTTTGTGTATGCATGTGTATCCATAAAAAATTTTAGTGGAATTATTTTGCATATTTAACCACTTTATCATTGATTATCACTTTATCACTTTAGTCATTGAAATTAACATTCTTTTTTTTTCCAGCATAATCTTTTTTCCATGTTGATAGCTATAAAACTAGTTAGTTTAATTGCTCTATAGCATTCTGTTGTATGAATGTGCACTGCTTACTTTTTTTTTACGGTGTCTAAAATTTTCATTGCGTAGGTTTACCATAATTTGTGTAATATCTTATTAATGATGTAGGATATGTTCTGAAAGTAAATTTGCTGGGGTATTCTGCATTTCACAGTTAGTATACATTTTACATTTTTGTAGATATTACATAGTAGTTGTAACAATTTATACTTTCCCTTACTTTATACAAGAATGCTTGCACTCTTTTCAGCACTGTATGGCCTTTTATTTTATTTGTTGTCTCATACATTTGTTTGAGTTAATTCTAGTTCCTCTCCCCTTTCTAAGTTGATAGAAATAGCAATAGAAACTTCTCATTGCCCTTTGAGCTTATTGCCTCCTGTTGTTGTTGTTGTTGTTTGCCGTCGAGTCGGCCCCGACTCATAGCGACCCCTCCTTGGGTTTCCGAGGCAGTATCACTACGGAAGTAGGAT